CACCAGTCTACAACCTAAGAAAAATAAGAAAGCATTTGAATGAGAATTCAAAGTCACTTTTGCTCTTTGGGTATTTGATAATGCAGACATAACCCTGAGCTGTCGTTTGATGGTTTTGAGGAGTGGGGGGGACAGAAACGCCCAGGTACACCCTCCAAGCCCTGCTCACACACAGTTGGCTGGGGCTTAAAACTGGTAAACTCTATCCATTTGATAGAGTTTCACCAAATTTTTTTTTTTTTCCTGTTTATACTTACGTGCTTCATCTTTGTGTTCGCAGGAACAGAGATGTTCCTTCTGGGGCCCTGAAAGGTAAACCCAAGTCACTAGCTTCGTTCCTCACACGCTCAGGAGATTAGGGGGTACATGGTCTTGGTGCCGAGTAGAACTGAAGGGAGAGCATCACTGGAAAGATGCTGAATAGAAAACAAATCCCAGAGAGGGGGGCCCCCAGTGAACTTCAGCTTCCTGTCACCAAGGTGATTCAAGAAAGTGCCAGCCCAGAGTCTAGTGCAAAATAGTGTCAGACCATAGTGCACTAAGTGCATGGCAGAGCAAACAGGAAGCAACACTGCAAAATCCTTAGAAAATTTTAAGTCACTGTCATGCATCAGAAGACTCATTGTTGCATTTTTGATCCAAATTTCACAGATTTGTATTTGGAACTTGATAACCTTTTCTAAAATTAATATGGAAATGCAAAAGTTAGGAATAAGCAGAGTTAGAACAAAAGGGGAGGACTTGCTCTCCAGATGTCAAGACTTAACACAAAGTTATAATAATTTGGACAACAGGGCTTTGGTGGCTGGATGGACAAACCATTGGAACAGAATTAGGAGCCCAGAAAGAGACCCATACATATATGGATGTTTGACATATGTCATGGCTGATCAGCAGAAAGGATGGATTTGTCAATGAATGGTACCTGGATGATCGGGTCACTATGAGTCAGAAATGACTCAATGGCAGTGGATTTGGGGTTGTTTTTTTTTTTTTCCCCTAATGATTGGGTGTGCCCATGGGTATGGGGAAAATTGGACTCAATTATTTATTTCCAACTGGAAAGAAGACCTAAATATGAAATGCAAAACGATAAAGCTACTCAAAGTTAATGTAAGAGAGCGGCTTGATGACCTCAGGCCTGGGAGTGCTTCTGAAACAAAACATGGGAAGATTCATAAAATCTAACAAAACCATACAGAGAGTGACAGTGGGAGAAAATATTGGCAATACAGAACTGACAAAGGACTTACAGCCACAGTGTATAAGGAACTCATCCAAATTACTAGTAAAAATACACAAACAAATCCCATAAAACATGGGCAACATTTTCACCGGTATCTGCAGTCTCTCACCCAGGTATCTTTTCTCCCCTCCACGGCTCCCACGTAAAGCCCCTCCCTTTAGTCACATTTCTCATCTCCTTCAGGGACTCTCGAGGGGCAGTGAGGCGTGGAGGTGGTCCTGGGGGTTGGTTATTCTCTACGGTCCTTACGAATCACTGTGAATTGGTTCGAGGCTGTCCCCAGAACTTCCCAGTTTACAGCACAGAGACTTCTGGACAAACAAGTGTAAACTCAGACTCTCCGTGATCCGCAGAAAGGCCTGAGCCCTGCACAGGGTGATCAAGATGCCCCGAGTCTGTGTGTGAACGTGTTCCTGCCCACCTTGCTGGCTCCCAGCTCACCCACTGATAGTCGGCGCACACTGTAGCCCATGGGGTCCACCTCAGGAGACCCCGGGAATTCAGCGCATTTGCTATGCTGCCAGTATGAACAGCAATTAATAATTATGACCTAGATTTTCATGGCCTATTGGTAAAACAAAGAACCTCTATGTATTTGTAACATCGAGCAAGCTCTGTGCTTCCCAGAGCAATACATCCAGGCCCGCTTCTCCTAAGACCCAGCTTTAGCACTTTGTGATGGGAAGCCAGCCACATTACGTACGGGGCTGCTGAGACGAAACAAAGAAGGCATTTCCCATTCTAATTCTCTTTAACCAGATTTACCACATTTCATTACTTAGCTGCCTGCTATTGCTATGAGTCTGTTCTGACTTGAAGGCACATAACAACAACAACATTGCTCTTGATCCCTAAGGAAATAACTCGATGAAACTGAGAATAAAAGCAATAGAATGTAGGTTATTCAATACACCAGGTTGCATATCCCCAATCGGGTCACACACGGATTAAATTTAGCTCTAGTTAACCTGATTTCATGTGCACCTCAGTTCGGAGGCCATGAGAAACTTGAGTGCTTGCTGGTTCTCCATGATCAGAAAGCAGTTAGACTGAGACTTGGGGTCTCAAGTTTCCCTGCCACATAGTGATGTCAACATGCAGCAGACAGCTTGCCTTTCAGAGACCACTCAATGTCACATTTGCCTCTAAACAGCAGCTTTATTTGCCAAGGAGAGTACTCGCTAGTGCCCCCCCACTGCTCACCACCCTTACTCATACATACATGCACACACATGCACGCACAGGGCATACACATGCTCACGCTGTACACACATACACATGCATGCACACACATGCATACACATGCACATGCATGGCATGCATGAAGATACATGTACACATGGCACATGTATACACACAGGCATGTGTTAACACACATGCACACACGTACATGTACACATACAATACATGGCTACACGTACATGCATACACATGCATGCACAGTGCACACATATGCCCTTATGCACCTCTGCCCTGCTGTGCTCCAGGTGAGAGCACACGGTCCGATCTGTTGTCCTGGGAGCAGTGACACTTCTGATAGGAGTCTCCGTTGCTTGGTCCTCAAAGACTTTGCCAGCCTTGGATGGATTCTCTGCCTGCTTGAAAAGCCCCAAAGCAGGAAGGCTCCATGTAAGTCAGAGGAAGAATTTTCTGACATTGAAAGTTGATCATATAACAAGGCAGTGTAATTCTTCCCAGGGAAAGGGGGGGTGGGGTTTCCACATCAAATCGGTTCCCTCTTGCCCGGACTGGTTTTAATTAGTGGTAATTTGGCTGAAAAGTATGGAGCTAAAGCAGATGACCTGCCAAGGTTCTTTCAACCCTGACTGCTGCTTGCTGATTCACGGAAGGTTAGAAGAGAGAGGCCGTGGTCAAGGAGTCCATTCTTTACTTAACGGTGAGGAACGGAGCAGTCCACACTGTGGCCCACTTGAGAAATGTTGTGTTGCTTTATGGTACAATCTTGTTCTTTAAAAAAATAATTATGTGTGTGTGTGTCCCTGAAGGGTAACTAGGAGCCATAGTCTCAAGGGTCGTACCAAGCTCTATGAGACAAGCAAATCAGGTCTTTTAATTAAACATTATTAAAAAAAAGAAAGAAAGATGGTGCCCTGCCTTGTGAACTAACAAAGTTATAGTTGGTAAAAACATAATGAAAAGTTAGGGAGTGTAAGTCCTTAAAGTGACACAGTTCAAGGAATTTGGTGGAATTTAAAAGGACAACAAGAACTAATTTTTGTTTTTCTGTCATTCAGAATTTTGTACTATGAAAGAGGAAATGGGATAAGGAGTCACGTGGTAGCTTGCGGCCACCCTAACGTAAAACAGCTTGAGGGCACTTCTCATTCTCTTCGGAGCCATTTCTTCTGGTTCTTAAAACCATGATCTCTACCCACACTCCTTAACTGGAAGGGTGCAGCCACATCTTACCACATCTGAGAAGATCGCATCAGGGCCTCTGGGAGAAGCTCTCTGCCAGCAGTCTCCTTGCTGCTTCTGTTACTTCTCCTGCCAGCCCCAGTTCAGGACTCCACGGGCCCTGAGTTAGCCGCAGCCTAATGAGAGAAGATGTCACACAGTCCTTTGATTCTGTAATGAGTACTGGAAACCTCCACGTCTCATCAGACTACCAAGCCAGGGCAGCAACCCCTCAGCTTCTCTCCACAGGCGTGTCTGCCAAAGATGCTTGACCCAGCAGTTTCAAATGTCATGCTGCTCCCAGCCACAGCCTCAGAGGACTTTTACCCAAGTTCCTAAAATAAGACAGTTTATAAATGTCACTGTCAGCCAAGCTCAGCGTTCAGTCCCGATGCTCCTCCTGGGAGTCAGCTTGTATACCTTCAAAGCTCCCACCAGCTTTCTAGAGGTCCGGCGGCCCTGTCTAGTCCCCGGGTGGCTTTGATGGGACAGTCCATCTGCTCAGGGTGGGGAGTTATAGGAGCTGGACAGTTTATTCCACGATTGAATGTGTGGAAGGCAATTGAGAGTGTGTCTTTCAGAAAAGCAGGGGTGGAAATTACAGGGCAGGGAGTAGGATCCAATGAGGTGTGCCAGGAGTCCCTTCTGTCTGCTCCCAAACCAGGAGTTATCTAGCCCAATGTGTCAGTAGTGCTGAGTGGGCTGGCGAAATGGTCAGGGTACCTTTGGATCACCCTCTCCCACGAGGATGCCCTGCGTTCCACCCCAGGGGCTGGAAAAGTGGGGCCTCTTCTGCAGGGTATGCGTACATGAGAAACAAATAACAGCACAGCAAACCCAATAGCGACAAGGACAGAAACCACTCTAAAGGTCAGACAGCCAAGGTTTCCCTGAC